CAGCTCAGGTACCTGGAAGTTTCTGAAGATAACACTGCTCATGTTTTTATTAGGAAGTTGAATTAGCATAGAAATCCTACTATTTCTGATCTAGTTTTGGTCCTCACTTGAAGTCAGTGAATGACACCACTTCTGTCAGGACCCATTACTAGTTACTCCCGTGAGTAACTACAAATTAGCTGATGTTTATTCTATTCTTTTTTTTTTTTTTTAAATGAAAGACCTCAAAGCACTGCCCAGAAGATAACATTATCCTCCTCTGACACACAACCTGTTCCATTCACCCCCGAGGACAGACCTCTGCCAGGTTTCATACCCCTTTTTCAAAAAGGAAATAAAAGCACACCCTATTTCAACTCATCTGCTGAGAGTGTTGCTGTTCAACTGTCACTCCACACATCCAGTTAACGAAGCCCACTGATTATTCAGGAGAGAGCAACCTTTTATCACCATTTTACTCTTAACAGTTAGTGCTGATAGTTGTTTAATCACTAACTGGACAGAAGAGACAGGCCTATAGCTTCAGTGGTATTTCTTTTCCAAGTTCATCATACTTAACACACCACTTTCTTGCAGAAGAGTTTAACAGCATAACTGTGCACAATCTTTACACGGAAAAAAGCAGGTCTGTTTCATTATGTCAATTAAAAAGTAGAGATGTGAAGAACTAAAATGCAAGAGAGGTCCTCATTTCCAGAGCAAACTATCTGAAGAATACAGAAAATCTATTGTTGGAGCATTATGATTTCTAATTAGTATTATACCTGCAAGGCAATCATCAAGAACAGCCTTCATTTTCACTTGCTAAACTTTCCATTTACCTTTTCCTCCTGCTGGGAAATCCTAAAGGCAGACGACTAAACCATCTTTCTCCCCTACCACAAAATCGTTTTACGTTCGGCAACAAGCTCCAGCCCGCATCTAATCCAGACTGACGTGTCGAAGTTACCACCTGAAGTCCTAGCCCCACAGGACTCTGTGGCTGACTTTCGGTCCCCAAGTATCTTTTTCTTTATGCACGCCGCTAATCTGCTGCTGCTCTGAGGTCTGCATTAAACTCCTGGACAACGGGAGGCAGACGGGTTTACAGTCTGCTGTAGGATGATACAAATTGAAAGCAATCCCGAGAGACAGCAACGCTGAAGCTGACAGACATTGTAAGAGCCCCTGAAGTTTGGCTTCAGAACCATCAATCAGGAGCATCTTGCTGGCGGCATTCCCAGAAGCCCTATAATGAACCACAAAGTTCAGAGCAGAAAGAGGTAACAGTAAATGGAGAATGGTGGGGAAAAATAAAAAAAAAATTATTCACCCTCTCCGTGAGAGCATTTCAGCTCTCAATTGTTACCACTTGATTCCAGACCCTGCCTGAACATTTTCATAATTTAGAATAACTGCTGCCATTCCTGTCGACTAAGCAGAGTGTTTATTAGTAATGCAAGTTACTTTCTATGTAATTACTTTCTAGTAATACAAGTTACAGTCTATTATAAGACTGAGACAAAAGTATATTAGTTCCAAACACTAACTAATGATCACTTCTGATCTATAGTTAAGTTTTTAGAGCTATTTTTAAATTGGTACCAAATAATTCCTTTTCCTATTATTATTCTCTCAACAGCCATACCTTAAATTTAATCAGGGAAACATTCAAAGGAAGCTATTGAAAGCAGATTTAAGGATTGCATTAACTTCCATGACAACAGAAGCAAAATCTAACAGAACCAAAATACAGATTTTACATATATACACAGATGGACGGCAAACATTTCTTTAGCTTTGATAGACAGTTCCATTTTATAATGATTTATCCCAACACTGATATAACCGCACACAGCTAGGTAGACAGACCACCATATTAAAAAGAGGTAGTGTGATTTTAATTTTTCCTCTGCATATTTTGTCATCTACTTCCATTTTAAGAGTGTCTTACAGGAATACTTGGTGTAGGTACATATCTCTGCAGTATCAAATAACTTTTTGCTGATGAAAGTCTTGGGAAAAAAAAACCCAAACCAAAAAATCCATGCACAATTTATAACAGTATCTCTGAAATTCCAAATTATATTGCACTGACACCCCAAATCAGGAAAAAACACCTCACAGCTAATGGCTCCTACAAGTGAATTTAACACACAAGCATAGGATTTGTAGGATTGTCCTGTATGACTGGGAACGATTCGTAGCCCCAGAGATCTCTCAATGGCCTGTTCCTAGAGCGGTGATGGCCCCCCGAAAAACGGATAAGAACGTCTCAACAGCTTGTGTACTATTATTATTAGATGTAAGGTGTTCATTCAGAAAGTGCACTGCAGACATGAAAATTATACCTTATTATCACAATATAGTGCATTGCATTTTTTCCATAAAGCTATTAATAGCAGACCCATGCACTCAAAGACAATTTTAAAGCTTAAGTCTCTGGGCACAAACCTAAGGATCACTGTTTTTTATAGAAATGTTTAGTCGGGCCTCAAAAAAAAATGACATGAGGCCTGCCTAAAAAAAGGCCATAAAGATAAGACCCATAGTGTATTTTCTGTCAAACTATTTCTAATTTTCACTTATTCCTCTTAGCCTGGAGGGAAAAAACCAATCTCTGGTCAGAGCCATAACACACACACTGGCGTGCGTCCTTGTCTTAAACATCCACTTAGAGGCAACACAGTCCATGTACCTGCAAAAGATGTAAATAGGTTCCTGAACCTGGTGTCATAGATCACATATGTAACCTTGAAGAGCAAATAATTTCTCAGTATTTTCCTCTCTGTACTTTAAGATAAGAAAAAGCCATTTCTGCACTTAAAAATATTTTGGAAATTACTTTGATGCACAGCAATAGAGAAAACAATTGTGAGTCATGTCATATACACAGTCGAGTCCAAACAGAAGGCTGATTAGGAACTGTGTTTTGAGAGCCACATGGACCATTACAGAGAGCAACCTATTATCCTGTTACTCGTAATGATCTTCTACAGTCTCCCCCGTGCTCTTTATTCTACTCTTTACACACGGGGACACTGCAGACAAGAAATGAACTAATTTTGTTAACGCCATACATGTATGTTTTGTTCACTTTTGGACTAGCGATGAAAATCTATATTGAAATGAAACCCGAATTTCTACTGTATTCTGTGGAAGTAGTGACCACAGAATTCAAGCTCTCTCCTTTAAAGCATAATCTTAAGAGGAAGAAACCAAAAGTAGATGTGGTGTTTTCATGATTAACAGTACTTCCTATATCATGCGAATGCTGGCTACCTTGGAATTATCTGAGGGACTGAATGTATAAGTGGATGACTGAATTTTCCATACTTGCTGCCTACACACATTCTACTGCTGTAAAAATAACACACAATTTCTATTTTGTTAATATTTTAGTACACAGAGATTACTGTTTAGTAAGACAGAAAAGTCAACTCATTTCAAGCGAAATGCTAAACTTCAACACCTACTCACTTTCAGCTGCCTTTCTTTTGATTAACCATATCATTTATTTCCAATACTGCATACATTTTCACTCCTCTGCTCCAAAACACCAAGTTATCTATCTCTCTGTGGTATCAAGAAAAGCGGGAATTTAAAGTAAAGACAAGCCCGTTCAGTTTTAGCTTTCAGGCTGGAACTTGTTTTAAAAGTAGGTATGAATTACCGAACCCAACTGCTCAAATGCAAATATAAGGGCTATCATAAACACGTATAAACTAGCCTTCCATGGCAGAAATGCCCAAGAATCAATGTAGATAAAATCGCAGTCAGGTGGCATAACAGAAGTGCAGTGTTAGAGAATCTGCACTTCACGTTCTTATCAGCATTTACAGATGAAATGTCACAATCCTGTGACTCGAGAAGTGCAGGATCCTCACTGCTTTAAACTATCCAGCTGAGGCATTGGGTAGGAAAAAAAAAGTCCAACCAAAAAAACTCCCAGAGGTAACAGTACAAGTGACAGTTGGACAAACAAAATACTTCGGTGGAAATTACAGCTAGGGCCATACTTACCCGGTCCACCCAAGGGGAAGCAAAACACACTGGTTTAACTGCCACTCTAAACACAACACAGGGAAGACAAACTGACAAACCAGTCTCTGGTAATGCTTCCAATAGTACATTTCATATTACGGCTTCCCTATTGTACTTTTGAATAACAAAACCTGCTGGAGAGCACAGAAGCACAGCCAGTTTGATTTGGTTCATCTTTATTTGATGCTGACGGCAACGAAGGTGAGGGGAACTACACAACGGAGTGGCACGCTCAATGCAGAGCAGCAAACGTGCAGATGACAATCAGCACTTCAAGTTAAATTTTTACTGTCATCTGGTTTTAGCGTTACGCGGTCATGGTACACCCCGCAAACTCAGCCAGAACTAACCCACTCATGAATACGCATGCAACCACTCCCATTTACTAAGCTCAGATCTAGAGCTTTTAGCAACAATACTTCCAGCGTGACTAAGACCCTCCTTGCCCTTACAGATGCGTCTCTCCCTTCAGCATGA